GGCCGCGTTCCTAACGGTGGGGGAGAGACGATCACGCGCCTCGACGTCGTCCTGAGAAGCGAAGTTCCGACCGGGAGAGACAGCACGAGGAAGGGCAGAGTGGAGCCGCCAAGGGAAATCAGAGAGAGCAAGACAGACTCGCTGAGACCGTGAAGAGGGATGGACAGAGTTTCTCAGGAGGAAGGGAGAGGGTAACGTTAACCAAGAGGGAGAAAGAGCATACGCGCATGTATGTATACAAAAGATGATGGAGAGGGGGTAAAACGTTGAACGGGGCAGGGAGGGACAGATAGGTGGATAGATAGACGGACAGGTAGACAGGAACGAATAAAAAAAGAGAGAGAGAGAGAGAAAAAGAGAAAAAGAGAGGGAGAGAGAGAGGGAGAAACCGTGCGTGCGTGACTCGAAGCTGCGGCGTCCGGAAAGACACTGCCACTCGCCAACGTTCCTACGTTCCGCGCTATCTGTATTCCTTTCTCTCTCTATCTCTCTCTCTCTCTCTCTCTCCCTTCTCTCCGTGTCACTCCCTCTCTCGATACATCCAAGCTTCCCTACCAAGAGACCACGCAACGTTTCTCTCTCGCGAGCACACACGCGCGTACGTCCGTACCCTCCTCCACAACCCGTTCGTACCCGTCGTCTTCTTCGCGTTCACCAAACATCCGCTTTTACCCGCCCTCACCTCCCACCACACACCCTCTCCACGCTATCTCTCTCTCTCTCTCTCTCTCTCCCCCTACTCGAGTGTTACGCGCAAGATTCTGCCACTTCCTACTCTATCCATCTTTGTCCCTCTTCGTCCTTGTTCTTTCTTATACGTACAGAGTTTGTTAGGTTATAGGAGAATTGTTTTGTGAAGCGAATATGAAAGCCTGTAAGGGTAGTTTCTCGCACGGTGTAGGTTAGGTCGCGGTCTTTCGAGGGAGGTTCTACGACTGGTTGTTTCTTTGCGCGTTCTCCGCCAGTGGTTTTCTCGATTTTCCTCGCAGAATAACGACAGCCAATGGGCTTCCAAGCAAACGGGGCTTCCGTATTCCGAGGCGAAACCCCGGGCCGCGGTCGTCTCTCTGGGTGTTTTAGAATGGCAAGCACAGCGACGTTGAGTTGGTTCGGAGTTTCTAAGTCTTCCAGCAGAGTTCCGTTATGACGTTGATGAAGTCTTTTGTGTTTCCTATTTTTCTGTTTCTGACGTTGCGAGAATGGTAGGTTAAAGATGGATTTGTTTATTTTTCGGGGTCCAATTATTTTCGGATATTTCCTCGCGAAAATTATTCGATTAAACCATGTACATTTCGTTATATTACCAAGCAATGTCGCTGGGCAGTTGCGGATATTACTAAATCTAGAAATCTTCAACGTTAAAATCACAGTATATAAATAATTGTAAAAGTGGATAAAGTTAAATTTATGAAACAAAAATAGCAACAATGAGAGATCTCAGACTCCTCGTTCTGCTAATTCTAACGCAAAAACCATTACAATCGAAAAAAAAATGGCAGATCGATTCCTCTAGCTTCTTACCGAAGGTGTCTGACCACAGTTCGGAACTTTCTACTGGTAAGAACTGGCGGCGGTAGGATCAAACAAGATCCGTGCTCGAAAATCAGGATTACAACACGTAATAAATCGCGAAAGTATTCGAGCACCTGTATAAACCTTTCATGAACATATTATACGCGTATTATACCTCCAGATTTTGAAATTCATTTGCCATCGTTACATTGATGAAGTCTGAAACAAATCTAAAAATGTACATAGAAGCTGCAATTAATAAGCCTCGATATTCAGGCTAAATATCTTATTTAGCGCTGATTATATGTTTAATAATTCTTAATTCTTTAATTCTTTACCAAATACACTTTTGTGTATACATTTTTTTTTACATTTTTAAAACGCTTTCAAATTTCACCAATATGATCATGACACAGCGCTAATGAAAGTTCAAAATATTTTTAATATAATACATACACGATATATGCATCGAAGAGTTTTTTGATAAACGTTCAAATACTTTCTTCGACTATTGTAAATACTTTTTTCCAGATTCGTGTCTCATAGAATTATCGGAAGGCTACCACAGACGACTTTCCGTTTCGATGGCGTGACGAATTAGAAAAAAGGGAAAACTAGAACAAACGACGCTTCGGACGAAGAGGACAGTTGATGCTGTCCCCGTTTTCTATGTCGGGCCCGACCCACTTCCTGGTGCGTGGTTTCGATCGTGACCGATCCATGAAATTAACAGTAACGGAGCGGCCGTACTCGCCGTGTAAAATCGAAAGTGGCGAAATACCGCGACGCCGTGGCGTTCGAGAGGGGACAGGCCCGTTTCATGGTGGTTCCAAGGTGGGGAACAGAGAGAGTTTCCTCGCCGAAGAAAGATTCTAACGGCCACGCACCACACTGTCGCCTCCTTCTATTCGCGTGTTCCTTAGATCGTCTCAAGTACCGGCGACTATTTTCAATTTCTAATTTCAATTTTTAATTTCAATTTCTAGTCTCAATTTCTAATTCCGATATCTAGTTCCAATCCCTAATTTCGATTTCTAATTTCAATTCTTAATTTATGACCGATAAAAAAGATTTACGACCGATTCGGAAACTTTCAAAATTGCGTTTCCCTGTCTATGAATTTTCAAACTGAACATTATAATAATTCATATGTATTATAATTCAATGCAATTAACGCATTTAATGTGGAGCTAATTCTGTAATTTATCACGTCACTTGGGAATTTCCCCTTATCTTAGCAAATCGCATCTTTTCATTCATCCTCGTAATGTAGAATTCCCTCACATTGATTAGAAGAATTTACACGTATCTACAAATGAATCTTCCACGAACATGTGAGAATTCTTTAAAATATCGCTTCTGTCCAAGTGATACGATCACGAATCAGAATCACGAATTAAAATCACGAATCAGGTATATTTAAAAGTCCTCGAATGCTGATGGTGCTCAGTGTTTTAATATTACTACCCCTTCTTACCTTTTATACGTGCAATTATGTTACACTGATTATACGAAATGTTTATGCGCAACACACGTGTTACTACTGTGTTTTGTCATTCCTAATGAATACACCATTTACCATCTCAAGAGGAAAAATCAAAGAAAACCAACGAAACAGCGGGCGTTCTCGAAGTATCTATGCCAAGCTGATTTTAAAAGATATTTATGCATATATGACACATACCTTGTATGAGAAATCTGCAAGTATTTAAAACAAATATAGAGCATGAATGACTAACAGATCTTTCAATTATTCAACACTTGCAATACTTTACAATTTAGTCGGTATCTTCGACTTTTTTTCAAACAATGATAAATACTTTTATTTCAATTTAGAAAATATGGCATAAACCGGATTAAATTTCGTCACTTTTATTTCGTGATTCGTCTATTGCAGTTTAATGTAACCCAAAGCCAAACCACAAGTTGAACTTTTTTAACGTTACTAGTTTCATAACCTTTTCTTTTATTAGAATATCTTATTAATAGACATCGAATTAAACTTCTTTTTCAACTGTTTACCATTTACTTTCTGTCGCTTCGTTAGCTGTGGGTCAGCCTCGTGTTTAGTTTTACCGTAGATATTAAAAATACTTCAAATTTTTCGCAATACTCTTTAAAACGATATTTTACCTTCCTAAATAATATAAATATCCAAGTTTGAAAAAAAGAAATCCTAAAGCATATATCATATTGTCATATTCCTAAAGCAAGCTGTTACCACGTCTACTCTCCATTAAACGCTTCATCATCGTGACAGAAAAACGAGAAAATCAAAGAAAATGAGCAACATCTTGGTGTTGTCGAATACGGCTGGAAGAAAACGATGGCTCTTACTTCACCGGACAACTTGGAAGAGTTCCCATTTCGTTTTCGTTCGCATCGACGACCTTTCTCTTCGTCGCTCCCTCGCTGGAGAAAGGGAAAAAAAGCAACGGTGGAGGGAAGATGCCGACGTTAATTCTGCTGGAACCGGCATAAAGCTCTGAATCACCGGTGAACCGGTCCCGTACCCGTAAAACGCGATGCCTGTTGTGCGAACGCGGAAACCACGAGGAGCCAGCAGTCCTCGCGCGGGTCACGGAAGGATTCCTTTCTCCTCCTCCGTTTCGTTGTCGTCTCTTCCTCCTTATATTCGCCCATTCTTCCTTCTTTCATCCTTTCTACTCATCCTTCTCCTTCCCCCTTTTTTTATTTTCATCGCCGTCGCCTTCGTGTTCTCCGACCAACAAAAGTATATCCTCCTCCCTGTTCTTTGTACATCCTCCCTTTTGTCAGCCAACAGATGATATACCTTTTTTAGTTGGAATGCTTGTTTTGCCACGATGAATCGACTTCTGCTGTGTCATCGACCTAATTGGATTACGATAATGGGAGAACGAGCGAGTGTCGAGGTGAGGTAACGTGTTTCACAATGAATGGATCCCGAAAATATTAGTCTTCTTTCCTTGTTTACTCGTCGAGGTCGAACATAAGTAGGGAAATTTGCGAGGATATTCGCAAATTTTGTTCAATATTGTTTGTGCAAATTTTTATTGGAAATCTTATCGAGTTTAAAGTACTAGCCTCAGGCCTATCCCAGTCGAATTACCGAAATCTGTTTACCAGATCTAACTACTTATATTTTGCCTATTATTTACATACATTATATGTACATGTGTGTGCATGTATACTGCAATAGCTATACACTATGATGATAATCTAGTC